CAGGAGTCTTTTGGTTCCTCCTTCTTCATTGTGTGTGTCTAATGACCTCTTACCATCTATTTTTGATTCCGGAAAGTACTGCGTCCTGCTCACGAGAGAGGAAAGCAGGTCGAGGAGGTCGAGAGCTTCATCGATAGTAGCATAGTTCCCGCTTACTCCCTCACCAGTGATTTCTTGCACGTACCAAGTACACTTCATCGCCCGTGGTGCTACCAAGAGCAGGCAGTACATAGAAGATATCGTCATTGAATGTAGCACATGCTTGTCATGGTTGATTAGGCTCTCCTGATATATGAGATGTCCATCCTTCAAAGCCACCTTGGCAATCGCCTCGACATCTCTGCGTACATCTTTTGGTAGCAATGTTATACAGAGATTCATGATGTCGCGACCAATCCCGAGGAAAAGATGATCGGGAGCCACAACGCATGAGTGATACGAATCGAAAACAGAAGGAACAACCGGTTTCCTACTGCCAAGTACACGAGGTACACGAGCGCGAACGTGTTGCAGTTTTGCAGAGAGTTGATGAAGTGCCTGCAAACTTGTCCCAAACGTATCTGCGTCATCCATTCCGAGGGCTTTCAACTCTTCCCTGGATAAATTGGATCTCCTCAATGCAATAGCCCGGTTCTCATCTCTCGCGAAAGATGGATGGTCGGAATGGATGCGAGTTGTGTAACAATACTTGCTTCCTTGAAATCCAGACTTGTCGTACCTTCCATAGCTGCATAAGTGATATGGAACATTGGAGCAGTGCCCTAGTAGGTCCAAAGTGGGGGAGACTGCAGGACAGTCTCCGACGTACCCGACGACATCGAGAAAAAGAACAATCTTCTCTCCTTCTGCGGTAGTCATCTCAAATCCTTTTTCTGTCCCCTCAATGATATCATCAATAACTGCCGCCAGTACCCCGTTTGTAGATACTCCTGGAGGAGTTAGCCCGATGGGTCTCATGGATCCGGCTCCGTTGCGGTTCTCCGGAGCCATACCTATGGGCAGCATGTATACACCACCCATGCTTCCCTTCTTTCCAATGTACAGCGTAAATCCATCAAAGTTCAGAAACATTCTGTACACAACGTACTTTCTTCCATCTTCCAGACGTCCACTGTTCTTTGCATCGACGCGATGACCCTCGTCCATCGGATTATCATCCGCAGATACTCGTTTCACTACGATTTTGTCAAACATCTGGTTGTAAACCCCCCTATTCATGCCAGTGAGATTCGAAACATTTCTTTCAGAAGATACAACCAAGCTGGTGGCGTAGTCGTCATCACAGTCCTGTGTTCTCCACATCCTATACACAAGGAAGGGTGTTTGCGTTGGTTCTTCCGAATCTTCGGTGGCTGGCTGTCCTGGGAGTGCAAGTTCAACGACCATGTCACTGCGAAAGAATGTCCGAGATTCTGGTCTCTTCATCTTCATCCTTTTGGTACGCTTTGAATTGGACTGCTCCTGCGGTTCTGTCCAGTTCGGATCATCGTAAACAAATAAGGAAGATACAACTGCATCAAAGCTCATGTTTGTTGAGGACGTTAGTGCAAACTGGGCTTGCATCAATCTGCCCTTCACGGCGTCACTTGTTTCGAACGTGATGTTAAGAAGGAGCCCTTTTCGAAGTTGCACCGTCACACCACCTTCGGTTGGAATCCGATAAACAGATAGAATCCCAGCCCTATCTTTGATCAGTGGAGTGTCCTCAATATCCAAGAACCTTGGTACCTCGCTTGACGGATCCATATCATGCCGTCTTCCTTGCACCATCTCCCGCAATCTTGCTGTCGAAAAGTCACGTTTCGGCCAGTTGCTATGCCTTACAATCATGGTAGGAGTGCTGTCCTGTGAGGTATACTTTCTGACGCCAGCCTTCGACCCAGACTTCGAGAAATCCACAGTATTCATTTCTACACGACAAGGAAAGAAGAAGTTGGATTTCGCAAATGGAGGAACACGTCTCTTCAGAGTAGATGTACTTGGCAGTTTGAGAGTGACCTGCCTTTCATTCGGTCTCCAGTTCCTAAAGTTAGCAAGTGTCTGATACGCAGTCTCGCTGAGACGTGTGCTCCCAGTTGCTGTTATCAGTGATGCAATATTTGTCCAGGTCAATCGAATTCCACCAAAAGCGCCGTCGAACATGCTGTCTATCAGCTTTTCAAACTCCTCAGCTTCGTAGACAACGTCCTGCTCAACGCTCAATCCAATGTCTAATCCAGAAAATCCTTCGCTTTCTTCACAACAGAGCGTGTCATTTCGTTCGGAGTGAGGACTTAGTGGAAGTGCCGCCACGCCGTCATGCATCACGCCTTGTTTTTCTTGGAGGTCGCTTAAAAGCCCGACTTTCAAAAGGGAAGAAGAGGGTTCTGATTGACCGTCTAGCAACTTGAATCCATCCCGTGGACGTTTAGCTGACTTTGTAAACAGTTGCCTACATGGCATTGCTCTTTTTCGATGTCTTTCAAGCTGAGGTTCAGAAGAAGACGGTGCGTGCCTATCCGAAGTAGTCTCTTTTGATGCAACATCTTCGGAACGCTTTGCATAAGGTCCGCATTTTTATGAACCAAACGACTCTTGCTTTGACGCCCCATCTGCGACGGTTTCGACCAGGTTTGCAACTGGAAGTGGGGCTGCAGTGAAGTTTGGCATGGACCTCGGCATCAACAAGATTTCAGCAAGCTTACTGCTCTACAGCAGAAAGAAGGTCTTTTGTCACATTTGGCGATGCATACGGTTGTGCTGTTAATATTAAAGCTTGGTTCAATGAATAGAAACGGTAGGAATGAGATGCTCCTACTCGCATTTTGATGTGATACCGCACGAAAAAAGCTCAATGGATGGCTGTCATTAAGGGCAACCATGCTATACCCTATTCGGTAATTTCAAATTGAGATTTCAGAACCTAAATTCTGCTATTGACACGTGCCCATGAAAATGTAACTGTTTTTCATTCAGATGCCCTGCTAGAACTCAGAAAAGGCGGTAGTTTGATATATCAAACTACCGCCTACTGCATATATAGTTCCAGGACCAGATCCAACTCTCTGCACGCCCCTCGTCTGCAGTCCCGACCCACCATGCATCCTCTTTTCTGACAGTTTCATTTCCGCGAGTTGCGTGTTCGGTTGAAATCTCATGCACAGTAAGTGACGCCACTTCTGCCACAGTCCTGACCCACCGGGCATCCTCTTTTCTGACAGTTTTCTTTCTGCGAGTTGCGTGTTCGGTTGAAATCTCATGCGGAGACACGAGTGCGCTGCACACGTTCGGTAAGTGAGCGCTTTCGCTAGGCAATACCGTTTTGCGATTAGCTACAAAGCTTTAACGTAAGTTCGCACATTCTCTATGACATTGAAAGTGTCGAAGAGCTGTTCTGACCAATCCTCACAGCGTTCCTTGTCTCACTGCAGGTCAAACCGCCCGTCGTCTAACTCAGGATCAGGTAAGCCATCAGTACACCCTCCTTGGTCTCTCAGAATTCTAATCCACCATCATCACGTACTGTGACCGTAACTGAGCTCTCCTGTTATGTTTCTTGGCGTTGATTATTGTATTTAACGAAAGCGCAATGAGCCACTGCCGCAGTATTTCGGTATTTGGACGGGGTAGATGTAGTGTATGTAGCCGTAACAGTACTCTTTGGTTGCTACAAATAAATGTGATGTGAACGCCGCTGGAACCGCTATCGGTTTCATCCTTCGGGATGGGACCGTTTCTGGACCAACGGGGTGACATCACCTTTGCAAGAAAGGCCTGGACTAACATTTCATTGACTGAGAGTAGGTCGCGGCATTACGTCTAGTGCTGCATTGGAGCTGCGAATGGAGACATATTGTCATTGCCCTGGAGCTGCAAAACATAGTCGTCGGTGGCTGCGCAGATGCAGAGATTATCACCGTCTCATCATTACCTCAATGTAACAAAGTTTGGCCCTGCAAGACCTACTCCGTGTGCAGCGCCAATCAGTCATCTACCGCCAAGGGCCAGGTAGAGCCGCTGTGCCATAACTATGCTGCTTTCTAGCCAATGGCGTCATTGGTAAAAAATGTGCCAAATCGCGACATGAAATCAGCAAGTGTTGCTACATTTATGACACAGTTTTTGCTGGCACGGACCAAAATATTTTGCGCATATTTTTTATTGCCTCAGATAGGCTGATTTGACCTTCCTGTGTGCACACGGAGTACCATTGCAACGAAGTTTGGCCCTGCAAGCCCTAGTAGGTCTTGCACGGCCAAACTTTGTTACGTTGAGGTAATGATGAGACGGTGATCATCGCTGCATCTGCGCACTGCCAGCCTTCGGATCGTCTCTCGCTGTGGAACGGCCACCTGGACATGTTTCTAACCGATATTTGCAATCGCGCACGCGAACAACCCATTCGAAGACAGCAGCCTCGCGATGATCACCACGCCACATCTTACGTGCTTCGAGAGGTGCAGGAGGCCCTGCAGACCGAACTTTCCCACTGGACGCTCGCAAACTTTGGACTTGCACTCCCCGATGACAGCCTGCCCGCTTTGGAACAGCAACACGAGATACAGACCCCCGAAGCACAAGCGCAGCAGTGGGAAGAGCGACTACATACGTTGTTGCCGCTGTTGAACACAAATCAGCACCATGTCTTTGACGAAATCGTAGGCTCCATACTTCCAGGCGTATCCGTTTCTGCATTGCTTCAAGGATCCTCAAGCGCCGTTGCCGGACTTTCTATGTGAACAAAAAGTGGACGTCTCCTCTTCCTTGATGCCCCTGGCGCAACAGGCAAAACATTCGTGCTCAGCGCCATCCAAGACTTCCTTCGTTCGCGCCGTAGGCAAGTCATCGCTGTCGCTACGTCTGCTGTTGCTGCAGTGTTGCTCGACCGTGGACGCACCGCTCATTCCGTGTTCAAGATTCCCATTCCTCTATCTGCCGAAGGCACTTGCAGCTTCTCCACAAACTCCGACACAGGCCGTACATTGCAACAATTCGATCTCATTATATGGGACGAAATCGTCATGTGCCATCGACACTGCATTGAGACTGTCGATCGCCCCATTTGCGACTTGATGCAAACCGATCGGCCCTTCGGAGGAAAGTTTCTCGTGCTCGCTGGGGACTTTAGACAAATCCTTCCCGTCGTTCCGGGCGGGTCCAGGGGTCAAATCGTGAGCGCGTGCGTCAAGGCTTCCTCGCTGTATCCAGAGTGCCGATTCCTGCCCCTTACCGAGAACATGCGCCTTGCTGCCCTCCGAGCAGACCCTGCAGCAGATGTAGAGGCCCTCAACGTTCTAGAGTTCCTCCTCGGCGTCGGGAAGGCAATATTCTGGGCGAACAGCGCCCAGAATGGATCTCACTACCACAATCCGTCGCATTCTAGCACACCATCCGCAACTTACGCTTCAAGGTCTTCTAAGGGATTCGAGACAATTACCCCGACCCTGTCTGGCTTACCAAGCGCGTTATACTCACCACAAAAAACAGGCCGCTCGAAAAAGTCAACGAGGTCATCGGCAACATGATTCCGGCACCGTATCGAACGTACTTAAACGCAGACAAGGTCGAGAACGAAAATACGAACGCGCTAATATATCCCACGGAAATGCTCAACACCTTGACGGCCGGGTCTGCTCTACCAGACCACAAGCTCAAGCTCAAGAAAGGCTTCATCGACATGCTTCTGCCCAATCTCGATCCAGCTATCGGTCACGTCAACGGCGCGCGATATGGCATCGAGAACATGACCAACAATCTTCTCTTTCTACGCGTTACCGCCGGGTCTCACGAAGGAAACAGGCTCTGCCTTCCTCGAATTCCCTGCGGACCAGGCGACGACAACTTTCCCATCTCTGGCTTTACACGAACCCAGTTCCCTATTCGCACGTGCTTCGCCCTTACAACGGACAAAGCCCAAGGCCAATCCTTCGGTGGCCGCATTGGTCTCGACTTACGAGATCACTGCTTCTCGCACGGTCAACTCTACGTCGCATTATCGAGGACTACTCACCCAAGCAACGTCACTATCCTCACTCAAGAGTCTGATGCAACAACGCGAAACTTAGTGTACCCCGAGGTCATTCAGAAGTCATCAAAAAAGTAAACGCCATTTTCTTTACGTCTTTCTATTGCCACCCTTCCCCACCATTGCTCCTCCACGCCGACTTGGCTCGGCGCGCGAAGCGCGCACGGAGCCCACTTGTGTTTAAACTGAAAGTTTAACGGGCGTCCTTAAAATTGCAGTGCGCACAGTACATGCCCACGAAAGGTGTTGTTCCGGCGCGTTTTGATTGGTTAGAATGACAAAATGCTATTTTTTTGAAAGATCCACGAGACTGTGGTCAGATTCACCTGTTCACCAGAGCCTTCAGAATCGCCCCTCACATCTCTGAGTTGTAGCGACCAACGAACGCGTAAACCATCTCTACAGCTGGCAAAGACACGCTCTTCGGACAACCAGTTGCTTGCAAAGGAAGTCTGAAAGGCGATACGCGGCTACCTGATTTGTGGCTTGTGTAGTCCTTGTCGCGAAGCAACTGTCATTCAATTGCGTTGCACATCTCCTCCAACTCGGAAGACATGTTTGGCAACACATTTTCGCTCGCCGTTGGGATCGGCATTGGCATTTACGTTGCTCAGAACTACAACGTGCCGGATATCAAGAAGCTTTTCGACAGGGGCATTCGGATGGCCACCAACTTGGAGAAGGCGACTCGAAAGGAAGAAGAAAAGTAAGCCGCGACCTCTCGCAGACAATTGCTGCGATTAGTAATTTTCTGAGATGATCTGCGTGCTTCCTAAATGGCTTTACTGTGCAGCGTTTTTCGACCGTCTTTCGAGCACTCCTTGCCTGCGTGCCGTCCGGGGATAGGGAGTGATCCTGCGTTGGACAGGAGGTTGAGTGGGAACGGCAGCGAGGAGCAGCAAGGAGGGAAGCAGAGTTGCAGCCTCTGCTATCCTACTGCCGTATCAGCCAAAAAGAATCAGCTTGCGTCTCTCGAGCTGACAAAAGCGCCGCGATTCCGTTTGGCCTTTGAGACGTTTTCTAATGGTTTGCCACACATCCATGCTTATGGTTTCGACTCTTTTGGAAAAGTCATGGGCCTACTTGGAGGACTCCGGGCCAACTGCTCGTGAACGCCGTTGCTCTGTTGGACGCCGTCCCCGTTTTCAACAAGCAGGGCCAGGTTGTCCTGATAGATGACCTTGTCGTCGATGGGCGTACCGGACTTGAATAAAATTTCCTGCACGTCCATCCCCATGAACTGGACGAGGTCCTCGCTCGCAAAATTGCAAATCCCACGGGCCATTTCCAGCCCGTCGGGCCCGCGAATCCTGACGGCCGAATTTGCTTCGAACGTCCCCTCACACGCGACGACGCCCTGCGTGCGCGGCGGGACTCCCGCGCGCAGCTGCTCGGCGGCGTCCGCGGTGATGGCGATCTCGCCGCGCGGCGGGAGGCAGTTGGAGATCCACTTGGCGCGCTCCATCTCGAGCGGGGTGGCGAGCGGCTCGAAGACGGTGCCGAGGCGGGCGGGGCGGTCGTGAACAAAGTCGAGCAGGCGCGCCGGGTGCCCGCCGTTGAGCAGGCACACGCGGACGCCCGCCGCGGTCGCCAGGCGCGCGGCCGTGATCTTCGTCTTCATGCCGCCCGTGCCCCACTGCGTGCCCGTGGCGTTGGAGGACAGGTTGACCTGCAGCGACTCGATGTTCGGCACGACGTCGATCGGGGTCGCCGACGGGTCCACGCGCGGGTTCGCCGTGTACAGCTGGTCTACGTCCGTGAGCAGGAAGAGCCACTCCGCGCCCACCGCAGTGCTGACCAGGGCCGAGAGCCAGTCGTTGTCACCGTACTTGATCTCCTCCGTGGCGACGGTGTCGTTCTCGTTGACAATAGGGATGACTCCCATATCCATGAGGGCGAAGAGTGTGTTGCGGGCATTATAATACTGATACTCCATCCCCAAGTCTCCGCTGGTCAGCAAGACCTGGGCGACGGTCTGGTGGGCCATGGCCATAAGATGATCATAGGTCCTCATTAGCACGCTCTGGCCAACGGCGGCGTAGGCCTGAATAGTGGCGAGGATAGCAGCGCGCTCCTCCGCAGACGAGCCGGATGTCGGCGAGGGCCTCTTCTTGACGTTGAGCTGGCGGCAGCCCACGCCGACCGCGCCGGATGAGACGAGGATTACGTAGTAGCCCGCGCGGCGCAGGGCCAGCAGGGTGTCCACCAGCAGGGCTAGGGTGGAGATGGCGAGCTCGCCCTCCCCCGCCTGCAGGTGGCGGCCCGCCGCGGAGGACACCGTCTGGGCGGCCTGGTTGGCGTCCCGCATGAGCGTGGACGTGCCGATCTTGACCACGATTACTGGGCGAGAGGCGCGGCGCGAGGCGGCGAGGAAGTGCGGCTCGGGCATTGCGACGCGGGGGGGGGAGGCGGGGGTTCGGTCGGCGGGTTGGTATGGGGGCATGTGGCGCGGGTAGGCGGGGTGGAGAGGGAGGTAGCGGAGAAGAAGCACGGAGCAGAATGGGAGGAGAGGGAGGAGAACGAGTGTATAAGAGGAGCAAAAATTGGTGCACCTGAGCACATGGCGGGTGGCGGGGATGGGCACACACGGATGGCGGTTTACATGTGGATGAGAGAATGCGGTGTAGTGCATGGGGCGTTTCAGGATGTAATCGTGCGTTGTACAATAGGAGGGACGCGGATCGTTTTCAGACGTGGCGATAGCGGAGGCGCAGCAGGCGTAAATATGAAACAATATGGCACACGTGTGGGATAGCGATTTGCGGCATTGTAAAGACGTGCACTAAAGCCGGAAGGCCCGCTTGGATGCACGGAGGCATGCCGATGGCGTGAGAAGAGCACTTCGGCGTGACGGTGCGATTGGGTTAAGTTTATGATGTGGTGCCGCTCCTCAACAGCGCTGCTGAATTCACCGTCTTACACCTCTGTCAGGAGGCTACCGGGAGGGCTCGTGCTGGAAAGTCTCGCCTCGTCCGCAGTCTCATCCTGAGACTGTGCATGACATCACTGGAGAGTCGGGTCTCAGCGCTGATGTACATGTAAACTAAGGACGTAAGGTACCCTTCGGGTAAGGGTATATGTTTCGGTACCTTTTAAGTGAACTGACAACCCGGGGGGAGTCGGGTCTCAGCGCTGTTGTAAAATAAGGATGCCAGGTATATGATAAGGTACCTATCAAGTTTAGTGAGAACGCGTGGAGAGTCTCGGTGATGAGACTGTTGACAGTCTTGACATCAAGTGATGTCGAGATTGAGGGGCAGCGGGGGAGAGGCTCGGACGGAGCGTGCAGCAACGTGTGCATTGTGCATTGCGCATTTACGCTCTCCCCATGAGCGCAACTTGTATTCAACTTGGAAAGACGACCATAGTCAAAAACCAACAACCAAAAACATTTCCAGCATTCCCCATCCCGCCTCCCCCGAACCCCCTAAAAAATCGCGCTCCACCATCCTTGCTGTACCGCGCCCCCCTCCTCATATTTACCAAGAGAATACTGTCGCTACACGCTCCACGGCCAGAGAGCCAGGCGTCCTAGAGAGCATGTATCCTGTAAAGAACCATGAGAGAGAATCACCCGGAAATGCATCGGAGGAGCAGAGGACCGGAGAGTCTAGCGGGGATGAGGTCGAATTATCGCAGATTCAAAGAGACGATGGGCCCAGATCTCCAAAGAGGCAAAAAGCCCGTGGTGAGCTCATGGATGTAAATACCGTCAATCTAGATGGTCTTCACGTGGATGACTTCCAGCAAATGCTTGTTTCAAGTTCAGCTCCCGGCCCCTGTGAGGAGTATGTCTTCAAG